AGGAGTGTATTCTCAGCTGGAAGTCTTCACTTGCTCAAAAGGTGTCAGCTCTCTAGAGGTAATTTTTGCTCCAACAAGCATTGGCACAGTGACTATAAACTGAACCAGGTTTGCATGCAGAAAGAAAGTAATTATGTGTGTGTTTAATAGGAGCTTCTCTCTCTGTGTGGAGGAGATCGCAGCTCAGCTTTACCCTGGTTAGAACTTCATACCCTTAATTTCAGTTACAATTCCATTTCCCGTCTTGACGAGTCGCTAGTAAGAATCTCCTGTTTTAAACTTACAAAGTAGGTGAAATAGAGTAACAGATATTGGAATCTGCATGTAACAATTTTCTAAATTGTTTTAGAGTCTGCTAAATGTCCTAAAGTGGCTTGACTTGAGCCACAACAAGATCCAAGATTGTGCTGAATTTTTGAAGGTAAGTTGCTCTTGTTCAATTTATTTATTTATTTGCTCATGACAAGTACTAGACAGAATTATTTTTCACATTTCTTGCTGAATTTCTTCATGAATTTGAAGGGAAATCTGTGGATGTGTGTGAAAAAAGTATATGCAATATAATATTAAATGGAGTTCTGCACGCTTGTTGGTAACTGAATGTATAATCAAATTAGCCAAAATAGTAAACAATCACGCAAGGGTGGTAGATGGACAGTCTTTAAAAAGGGCTATATTGGGCAAAATAGCAATAGCGTGAATTTATTTGTACTTTATTTGTGCTTTCTGTCTACATCAGTGAAGGGATACCATTTCACACCCAGTACAAATTCTCATGCATTAAGTCACAATTAGTGGGCAGGACCCTGTTGCACGGTTCAGGGGGCCCCCTAGATTTACGGTATGTTCAATGATAGGACCGAGTTAATTTATTCATACCTTTTCTGTCTCCCATCAAGCCTCTTACTGAACTGGAGCATCTGAATTTAGCCTATAATAACCTCCAGAGAGCACCAGTGCTGGGCCTCAGTGCCCAAGCCAAACTCACAACCTTGATCCTTAGAAACAATGAGCTGGAAACTATCAATGGTAAGTTTTCCATTTTCCATGATTGTATTACAGTGCTCATCACTGGGAAGTACATTGAAAAATGCCACCTTTTAACCCATTATTATCCACTTTGGTTCTTTTACAGAACATTTCTTCAATATTGTTGTTCTTTGTTTTTGTTTGTAATCTTAGTCAACATGATTTGACAACATAGTCTTTATTATATTATTTAAAATTGTTAACATTCTTTTCAATGCATATTTTGAACACATTTTTGTATTTATGATCTACAATTTGTCAGAGCTCATGAACTGTCATTAATTTGAATAAACAGTTAGTTTACTAAAAATAAAGGTTAATCTAATCTAAATGTATTATCCTAAATGCAGGGGTGGAGCAGTTGTCATCACTTCAGTCT